GGTTGTCGGGTGTGGATGTGGGGTGTGGTGGGTAAGGTGTGGTTGTGTGGTATAGTTGTGGCGTGTGGCTGTGGTATGTGGTTTTGGGATGTGGTTGTAGGGTGTGGTTGTAGGGTGTGGTTGTGGGGTGTGGTTGTGGTAGTAGTTGTGGGGTGTAATTGTGGGGTGTAGTTGTGGGGTGTGGTTGTGGGTTATGGTGGTGTGGTTGTTGAGTGTGGTTTTAGAGTGTGGTGGTGAGGTGTGGTTGTGAGGTGTGGATGAGGGGTGTGGTTTTGGAATGTGGTTGTGGTGTGTGGTTGTGGGGTGTGGTTGTGGAGTGTTGTTGTTGTTGGGTGTGGTTGTGGGCTAAGGTGTTGTGGTGTGGTTGTGGGGTTTGGTTGTGGGGTGTGGTTGTGGGGTGTGGTTGTGGGGTGTGGTTGTGGGGGGTGGTTGTGGGGCGTGGTTGTGGGGCGTGGTTGTAGGGTGTCGTTATGGGGTATGGTTGTGGGATGTGGTTGTGGGGTGTGTTTGTAGGGTGTTGTTGTTGGGTGTGGTTGTGTGGTGTGGATGTGGGGTGTGATTGTAGGGTGTGTTTCTGGGTTATGGTATTGGGGTCTGGTCGTTGGGTGTGGTTTGGGATGTGGTTGTAGGGTGTGGTTATTGTGTGTGGTTGTGGGGTGTTGTTTTGGGTTATGGTTGTGAGTGTTGGGTGTGAGGTGTGGTTGTGGGATGTGGTTGTGGGTGAAAGTGTTGTGGTATGGTTGTGGGGTGTGGTTGTAGGGTGTGGTTGTGTGGTATAGTTGTGGGGTGTGGTTGTGGTATGTGGTTTTGGGATGTGGTTGAAGGGTGTGGATGTGGGGTGTGGTTGTGGGGTGTGGTTGTCGGGTGTGGTTGTGGGATGTGGTTGTGGCGTGTGGTTGTGGGGTGTGGTTTTGGGGTGTGGTTAAAGAGTGTTATTGTTGTTGTGTGTGGTTGTGGGTCAAGGTTTTGTGGTGTGGTTGTATAGTGTGCTTGTGGGGTGTGGTTGTGGGGTGTGGTTGTAGGATGTAGTTGTGCGGTTTTGTGTTTGGGTGTGGTTGTGGGGTGTGGTTGTGGGGTTTGGTTGTAAGCGTTTGTTGTAGGGTGTGGTTGTGGGGGTGTGGTTGTGGGGTGTGGTTATGGGGTGTAGTTGTGGAGTATGGTTGTAGGGTGTGGTTGTGGGGTGTGGTTGTGGGGTCTGACTGTGGGGTGTGGTTGTGGGGCGTGGTTGTGAGGTGAGGTTGTAGGGTGTGGTTGTGGGGTGTGGTTGTGGGGTGTGGTGTGTGGGGTCTGGCTGTGGGGTGTGGTTGTGGGGCGTGGTTGTGAGGTGAGGTTGTGGGGTGTGGTTGTGGGGTGTGGTTGTGGGGTGTGGTTGTGGGGTGTAGTTGTGGAGTATGGTTGTAGGGTGTGGTTGTGGGGTGTGGTTGTGGGGTCTGGCTGTGGGGTGTGGTTGTGGGGCGTGGTTGTGAGGTGAGGTTGTAGGGTGTCGTTGTGGGGTGTGGTTGTGGGGTGTGGTTGTGGGGTGGTGTGGATGTGGGGTGTGATTGTTGGGTGTGTTTGTGGGGTATGGTTTTGGGGTGTTGTTGTGGGGTGTGGTCTGGGATGTGGTTGTAGGGTGTGGTTATGGTGTGTGATTGTGGGGTGTTGTTGTGGGGTATGGTTGTGAGTGTTGGGTGTGAGGTGTGGTTGTGGGATGTGGTTGTGGATGAAAGTGTTGTGGTATGGTTGTGGGGTGTGGTTGTGTGGTATTGTTGTGGGGTGTGGCTGTGGTATGTGGTTTTGGGATGTGGTTGTAGGGTGTGGTTGTGGGGTGTGATTGTGGAGTGTGGTTGTGGGGTGTGGTTGTAGGATGTGGTTGTGCGGTGTGGTTGTTAGGTGTGGTTGTGGGGTTTGGTTGTAGGCTGTGGTTGTGGGGTGTGGTTGTGGGGTGTGGTTGTGGGGTGTGGTTGTAGGGTATGGTTGTTTGGTGTGGTTGTAGGGTGTGGTTGTATTGGATGGTTGTGGGGTGTGGTTGTGGGTTTTTTTGTGAGGGTGTGGTTGTGGGGTGTGGTTATCGGGTGTGGTTGTGGGGTGTGGTTGTGGGGTGTGGTTGTTGGGTGTGGTTGTTGGGTGTGGGTGTGGGGTGTGGTTGTGGGGTGTGGTTGTGGGGTGTGGTTGTAGGGTATGGTTGTGGGGTGTGGTTGTAGGGTGTGGTTGTGTTGGATGGTTGTGGGGTGTGGTTGTTGGGTGTTTTTCTGAGGGTGTGGTTGTGGGGTGTGGTTGTGGGGTGTGGTTGAGGGGTGTGGTTTTGGGGTTTGGTTGTGTGGGTGTGGTTGTAAGGTGTGGTTGTGGGGTGTGGTTGAGGGGTCTGGAGATGGGGTGTGGTTGTGGGGTGTGGTTGTGGGGTGTGGTTAAAGGGTGTTGTTGTTGTGTGTGGTTGTGGGTTAAGTTTTGTGGTGTGGTTGTATAGGGTGGTTGTGGGGTTTGGTTGTAGGCTGTGGTTGTAGGGTGTGGTTGTGGGGGTGTGGTTGTGGGGGTGTGGTTGTGGGGTGTGGTTGTGGGGGTGTGGTTGTGAGGTGTGGTTATGGGGTGTGGTTGTAGGGTATGGTTGTGGAGTGTGGTTGTAGGGTGTGGTTGTGTTGGATGGTTGTGGGGTGTGGTTGTGGGGTGTTTTTGTGAGGGTGTGGTTGTGGGGTGTGGTTGTGGGGTATGGTTGTGAGGTTGTGGTTATGGGGTGCGGTTGTGGGGTTTGGTTGTAGGGACACAACTGTGTCCCCTTGTTATCGTACCACCCGTGTTGTACACTTTATCTTTATCTGCCTTGACAATTCCTCTGAGAATTTTGTAGGTAGTGATCATGTCTCCCCGAGTTCTACTGTCTTCCAGCGACGTGAGGTACATTCCACGCAGCCTGTCCTCGTTACTCATACCTCATAAACTCATGCCCCATGTAAACATGTGTGTGTTTATGTGTACGTGTATGTTATTGTTTGAGTGCCTGTGTGCGTGTGTGTGTGTGTGTGTGTGTGTGTGTGTGTGTGTGTGTGTGTGTGTGTGTGTGTGTGTGTGTGTGTGTGTGTGTGTGTGTGTGTGTGTGTGTGTGTGTGTGTGTGTGTGTGCGTGTGTGTGTGTGTGTGTCTGTGTGTGTGTGTGTGTGTCTGTGTGTACTCACCTAGTTGTACTCACCTAGTTGTGTTTGCGAGGGTTGAGCTCTGGCTCTTTGGTCCCGCCTCTCAACCGTCAATCAAGAGGTGTACAGATTCCTGAGCCTATCGGGCTCTATCATATCTACACTTGAGACTGTGTATGGAGCCAGCCTCCACCACATCATTCTAATGCATTCCCTAAATGCATTCTAATGCATTCCATTTGTCAACCACTCTGACACTCTGACTGTCTTTATCTACCCTATCAATTCCCTTCAGAATCTTGAATGTGGTGATCATGTCCCCCCTAACTCTTCTGTGTTCCAGCGAAGTGAGGTTTAATTCCCATAGTCTCTCCTCGTAGCTCAACCTCTCAGCTCGGGTACTAGTCTGGTGGCAAACCTTTGAACCTTTTCCAGTTTAGTCTTATCCTTGACTAGATATGGACTCCATGCTGGGGCTGCATACTCCAGGATTGGCCTGACATATGTGGTATACAAAGTTCTGAATGATTCTTTACACAAGTTTCTGAATGCCGTTCGTATGTTGGTCAGCCTGGCATATGCCACTGATGTTATCCGCTTGATATGTGCTGCAGGAGACAGGTCTGGCGTGATATCAACCCCCAAGTCTTTTTAATTCTCTGACTCCTGAAGAATTTCCTCTCCCAGATGATACCTTGTAACTGGCCTCCTGCTCCCTACACCTATCTTCATTACATTACATTTGGTTGGGTCAAACTCTAACAACCATTTGTTCGACCATTCCTTCAGCTTGTCTAGGTCTTCTTGAAGCCTCAAACAGTCCTCTTCTGTTTTAATCCTTCCCATAATTTTAGCATCGTCCGCGCGCGCGCGCGTGTGTGTGTGTGTGTGTGTGTGTGCGTGTGTGTGTGTGTGTGAGTGTGTGTGTATGTTATTGTGTGTGTGTGTGTGTGTGTGTGTGTGGTGGTGTGTGTGTGTGTGTGTGTGTGTGTGTGTGTGTGTGTGTGTGTGTGTGTGTGTGTGTGTGTGTGTGTGTGTGTGTGTGTGTGTGTGTGTGTGTGTGTGTGTGTGTGTGTGTGTGTGTGTGTGTGTGTGTGTGTGTGTGTGTGTGTGTGTGTGTGTGTGTGTGTGTGTGTGTGTGTGTGTGTGTGTGTGTGTGTGTGTGTGTGTGTGTGTGTGTGTGTGTGTGTGTGTGTGTGTGTGTGTGTGTGTTGTGTGTGTGTGCGTGTGTGTGCGTGTGTGTGTGTGTGTGTGTGTGTGTGTGTGTGTGTGTGTGTGTGTGTGTGTGTGTGTGTGTGTGTGTGTGTGTGTGTGTGTGTGTGTGTGTGTGTGTGTGTGTGTGTGTGTGTGTGTGTGTGTGTGTGTGTGTGTGTGTGTGTGTGTGTGTGTTTATGTGCACGTGTATGTTATTGTTTGAGTGCCTGTGTGTGTGCGTTTTTATGTGTTCGTGTATGCTATTGTTTGAGTGTCTGTGTGCATGCGTCCATGTGTGTGTTTACTATATGTGTCTGCAGGTTTGAGGTGTTAGTTCCTGGGTCCCGCCTTTCTAGCCGTCGGTTGTCTAATGTACTGATTTCCGACCTATTTTCCTCTACCACATGTGCTACATATATGTCTCTCTAACACACTCACACATCCCCAGGATGCTGCCCATACAACCTGTACAACTATTTGATTCTTGGTGAACAGACGCATCTGGTGAAAGAAATTTTTTACATTTGTTTGTGCCTCGGCCGGGAATCGAACTCGGGGTCCTTATGACTACGATTCCCGAGCGTTGTCCGCTCCGTGATGTGTGTGCGTGCATGTGTGTGTGAAGGTGTGTGCAGGTGTGTATACATGTGGACATGTCACTAAACTGTGTAATCCATATGTGTGGTGGCTCCCTCTACAGGGTCCTGTGCTCAGAACCTCCAAGGTGGGTGGTGGTACAGGTGGTGCAGTAATGTTCGTCCCACGACACCCCATAGTGACATGAGGACATGGTACTGGACGCCAGGTGTCCTAGGCAGCAGCGGGGTGTATCTCCAGCAGCTACAGCTGATGACACGACCCCAGAACTTCCCAACTTCTCACCAGTGATTGTTGGTAAGTTAATGTGCTGGTGAGCTGGTACTTGTGGTGGTTGTGGTGAGCTGGTACTTGTGGTGGTTGTGGTGAGCTGGTACTTGTGGTGGTTGTGGTGAGCTGGTACTTGTGGTGGTTGTGGTGAGCTGGTACTTGTGGTGGTTGTGGTGAGCTGGTACTTGTGGTGGTTGTGGTGAGCTGGTGGTGGTTGTGGTGAGCTGGTACTTGTGGTGGTTGTGGTGAGCTGGTACTTGTGGTGGTTGTGGTGAGCTGGTACTTGTGGTGGTTGTGGTGAGCTGGTACTTGTGGTGGTTGTGGTGAGCTGGTACTTGTGGTGGTTGTGGTGAGCTGGTACTGGTTGTGGTGGTTGTGGTGAGCTGGTACTTGTGGTGGTTGTGGTGAGCTGGTACTTGTGGTGGTTGTGGGTGGTACTTGTGGTGGTTGTGGTGAGCTGGTACTTGTGGTGGTTGTGGTGAGCTGGTACTTGTGGTGGTTGTGGTGAGCTGGTACTTGTGGTGGTTGTGGTGAGCTGGTACTTGTGGTGGTTGTGGTGAGCTGGTACTTGTGGTTCCAGGTAAACTCTACGGACAATTTTTGTTGTTTTCAAAATCGCTCATTTTCAAACACCAATTTCGGTTAAAGCGATCATAAAAGTTTATTAAGAGTTCTTATGAGGAAAAATTTTTCATATAAGTTTGTAAAGAGTTCTTATGGGAAAACTTAAAAAAATTTCAGAGTATTCAGATTTTTTTTTCTTTTTCAATAAAATTTTTCAAATCAGAAATTTGAGAAAAGACCATTTTCAGAGAATATTGTCATAGAAGTTTTGTTAAGGAAAACAGACATCTTAGCCATGACATTTAGTTTTTATATCCAAATATGGCTATTTCACCTAAAGAGACACATTTTCTTCAGAGTTTTTTTATGACCAAAAATTTGACAGAGACCATTTGATGACCGAAATTTACTGAAATTTGACAGATTATTTAAGACTCAAATATGACAGACATTATCTTAGACGAAATAATTAAAAAAAAACATGTAAGACTGAAATGAGATTATTTTAGACCCAAATATTGTCAGAGTCCAGTAAAAAGATCTAAATTATTCAGAGTCCAGTTTATGCCCAAAAATCACCAGAGTCCAGTAAAGAGCGAAAATTAGTCAGGGACCAGTTTAAGACCCAAAATTCATAAGAGTCCAATAAAAGACCAAACTTAGTCAGAGTCCCATAAAGACCGAAAATTGGTCAGAGATCATTTTAAGACCAGAATAATTTAGAGTTTTACTTACACCTACGTTCTTAAAGAGTTTTTATGGAAGAAATTCAAATAATATCAGAGTCCACTTTGAGACCAAAATACGTCAGAGACCGCATTTATAAGTGTAGTTTCAATATTAACCTATCAATTTCCCTGAAATTTTAAAGTCATATTTCAGACGTAGTAAATCCAACCGAGTTAGTAAGCAAGTTCTAGCTCCAATCCTCCTCCTTAGTTCCCTTGCATATCATCATTAGTATCTAACCAATTCTTTCAGATTTAAAACATAGTTATTTCAGGGGGCATTAGGTTCCAATTTGCCTAAATATGCAATAAATGAAATCTCGTTAATTAATTAAGACAGAGTAAAATATGGCCAATGTAGTTACTGAGTTTCAGATTTTGTCCCCTGCTTTAGTTCGCTCCTGTAAATTCACTACTATCAGACCAAATCCCCTGAGATTTAAAACCCCAACTACATATCAGACCCCTGTAAAATAAATCAACATGTAAATTACCGAGCTCCAGCTCATGTCCTCCGCTTTAGTTCATCAAAATTATTTCAGATCAAGATGCTCTCCTGTCTATCAAAGTAAACATATCCTGTCCTTTAATAAACTTTTTGTATTCAGCTATGTAAATAATTACTAACGTGCTAATATTCACATGGTCAGATTGCACCCTACTCTCATTACCCTTTGTTTACCCAAGTAAGCAATAATCACAAGGTCAAAAATCACACCTTACCCTTTCCCTCCCTTACCTTCTCATCCTTTAGCTTCCCCAACTCCCTTTTGCCCATATCTCCCCACTTCCACTCCCCCCCTTACCTTCTCATCCCTTACCTCCCACGCCCCTTACCTTCCCACTCTATTATCTCTCCACACCCTTAAACTTTCTACTCTATTATCTCTCCACACCCTTTACCTTCCCCCTTTCCTTCTCATCCCTTATCTCCCCCTTCATCTCTCCCATTCCCCAACTTATCCAAACCTTCAATAATCCTAAAGTATTTGTATATTTTCTGTGTTCTTCACTGTGTTCTTCGCATTTCCTTCCATATTTTCTTTGTCATATTCTCCATGTTTTCCGTTGTTCTTTGTCATGCTTTCATGTTCATCACATGTTCTCTGTACAAATTTTATACACAATATTCATGTTCATGTGTTCTTTCTCATGTTTCTTGCTAATTCAATGTATTCTTCGCATTCTCTTACACGTTCTATATGTTCTTTGTCATGTTCCCCATATGTTCACTGCTTTCATCAGTTTCTCTTACATTTTTTCTGTGTTCTTTGTCATATTCCCCACAAGTTCACTGTGTTCATCTCACTCTCGTTCATGTTCTCTACAAATTCCCCTCATGTTCTCTATGTTCTTTGCCATATTCTCCGTGTTCTCTGCAAGTTCATATTACCCACAAAATCACTGTCTTCGTCAGCTTTTCATACATGCTTTCTGGGTTCTTTGTCATATTCGTCAATCAACAGCAAATAACCATGTTCATCATGTTTCCTTGTCATTGCGTAACTAAAATTATTCGTGAGTCAACTAAAATAGTCATGTATAGCTTCGTTCAACAATTTTTTCACTAAAATTATTTTTCAATCAACTAAAAATAGTCATGTTCAATATATTTTCTTGTCAATTTTAACTAAAAGTTTTCATCAATCAACTGATAATAGTCGCGTTCATCATCTTTTCGTGTCATTCCTGTCATAAAAGTTATTCCCAGAGACATTAGAAATCTATCTCAGTCATTAAAGATATTCTCTCTCAGTCATCAAAGATATTCTCTCTCATCAAAGTTATTCTCAGAATCATTAAAAATTATTCTCAGAGACATCAAAAGTTAATCTCAGAGACATCGAGATTAACTTTTAACTCAATTTCGTTCATTAAAGTTACTCTCTAAGTTATCAAAAGTTGTTCTCTAAGACATCATAGTTATTCTCAGTCATCAAAGGTAATCTCTAAATCACCTTCACTCATCAAAGGTAATCACTAAATCCCCTTCACTCATCAAAGTTATTCTCTAAGTCATCACAAGTTGTTCTTTAAGACATCAAAGTTATTTTCAGAGTCATCAAAAGGTATTCTCATGTCCTCAAAAGTTAATCTCTAAGTCATCTAAGTAAATCTCAGTCATCAAAGTTGTTCTCTAAGTCACCAAAAGTTATTCTCAGAGTTGTTAAAAAAAGTTAATCTCCGTCATCAAAAAGTTATTCTCAGAGACATCAAAGTTATTCTCAGCACCACCAAAGGTAATCTCAGTCATCAATTTTGTTCTTTAAGACATCAATGTTGTTCTCTAAGACATCTTCAGGCATAAAAATTTTGTCCAAAATGTAACTAGTTCAACTTTTCATATCAAACTTGCACTTCTGTTAAAATATATATATCTAACCTAACCTAATCTATTCTATCCTATTCCTCCCCTAACTGATGTAACTTACCTAATCAAACTTACCTAACTTAACTTGCATAATCTAACTTAACCTAACCTAATGCAACTTACCTAACCTAACCTATCCTAACATAACTTACGTAACTCAACCCACCCTACCTAATCTAACCTAACTAAACCTAACCTAACTTAACCTAACCAAACTTAATCTAACCTAACTTAACTTGCATAATCTAACCTATCCTAACTTAACTAACCTAACCCAACCTAACCTAACTTAACCTATCCTAAAGATAACTAACCTAACCCAACCTAACCTAACTTTTATAACATATCATAACTTATCTACCCTTACCCTCCTAACCTCCCCAACCTAACCTTTACTTAGCTTATATTCTATCATACTTTTCCCTCTTTAACCTAACCTCGTTTTGATCTTAGTATATTTATTAGATTTTATGTAATTTGTTCTTATCTTCCACCCTTTAACCTAACCTTTCAAATGTAGTTTATTGTGTTTTAACATATTGTTGAATATATTATCCTTAACCTAACCTCACAGATGTAGTTTTGTTTATCCTTTTTGTATATTTTTACCCAAATTCTTAGGTTAAGATTTAGGAAGGTAAGGGTAAATAAGTTATGATACGTTATATAAGTTAATTAAGTTATGTTAGGTTAGGTTGGGTTAGGTTAGTTATCTTAAGGATAGGTTAAGTTAGGTTAGGTTGGGTTGGGTTAGGTTAGTTAAGTTAGGATAGGTTAGGTTATGCAAGTTAAGTTAGGTTAGGTTAATTTAGGTTAAGTTAGTTAAGTTAGGCTAGGTTAGGTTAAGTTAGGTTAGTTTAGGTTTGGTTTGGTTAGGTTAGTTAAGTTAGGATAGGCTATGTTATGCAAGTTAAATTAGGTTAGGTTAGGTTAAGTTAGGTTACGTTATGTTTAGGTTAGGTTAAGTTAAGATAGGTTAGGATAGGTTAAGTTAGGTTATGATAAGTTAGGTTAAGTTAGGTTAGGTTGGGTTAGGTTTGGTTGGGAAATTTATGTTAAGTTAGAATAGGTTAAATTAGGTTAGGTTAAGTTAAGATAGGTTAGGTTAGTTAAGTTAGGATAGGTTAGGTTATGCAAGTTAAATTAGGTTAGGTTAGGTTAAGTTAGGTTAAGTTAGGTTAGGTTAGGTTAAGTTAGGTTAGGTTAGGTTAGGTTAAGTTAGGTTAGGTTTGGATAAGTTAGGTAAGATACATTAAGTTAGGTCAGGTTAGGTTAGTTAAGTTGGGATTGGTTAGGTTATGCAAGTTAAGTTAGATTAGGTTAAGTTAGGTTTAGTTAGGTTAAGTTAGGTTAGGATAGGTTGG